TGAAATATTGAAAAACATAAACGTAAAAATATAATAATGCTTTTGATTTTTATTTCTTTTCCAAGGCACATAATGCGTGAGTTTGTGAGGGCTTTGCAAGATTATTTTGTCAATCAAGTGCTTCATTTATCTTGGACTGAATTTCAAAAGGCTCTCAGTTCCAATGTTCATAATCTGGATGATCTTCATCATGTGCACATGGATTTCTTAAATATGTCGATTAAAAGGTAAGTCCCTACAGACTTAATATATAGAGGCCTTAGGCAAATAAATCCTATTCAAGTGTGACCAGTGTAACAGGTTTTCTACAAATTCACCCTTATTCACCCATACAAAGCTCAAGAGTCGCTCAAGGTAGGGGGTTGTTGTAATAATAATATAAAGGGAGGAAGTGAGAAGTGCATATTATGAGGATATACTGGACAGGTGGAGCAAATAGAAATTCCCCAACTGCTCTCCCACTCTAGACTTGGAGAGATTAATATTGTAATGATTAGGGGAGCATCCTCTTGGACATCTGTCTAACACTATTTTGGTTGCTGGTAATTAATAATAAGGGCTTTTGAATATCAAACAAAAATGATATACTGCGTTTTTTGGCAGAGATCAATAAATACAAATGTGTGAAGCAAATTCGAGACAGGAGAGAGATCACCCTGAGATTCCATTCCAGCCACCAAACGCAAGATAACGCATGTGACTATTTGCCAATATTAACCCCTAACATCAGCCTTAAGCCAAACTTACCAAATCAGCTAAACAAACTTCACTAAGTCCACAAGCCAAACCTTACCAGCTTAACCAAGTGTCATGTTCGATTTAGGAATGGGTTGGGTCAACAAACACCTACATGCTAACACCTAACAACTATTAACAAACCATTGTACGCAGTACTCAATATAAAAATAGTAAATATATTTTTTTTATGTTATTTTTCTCCTGTTTTATCGTACGTCCTCGCTCTGCTTGGATCAGCCTAATACAAAGATACCTATGATGAATTGATCTTGGCCTTCTTATGATCACCCAATCATAATGTGGGGTAAGGCAGGTCGGTATCGAAGAGATCACTCTATTGTCCAGGGAGGGTGAAGGCTGACTCTGAAGGTGTTACATCTGTTCCAAACAAGAAGAATCTGTCAGAGTGGAACTTCCTCCTTACCAATGGAATACAAAGGGAATGTGGATGAGTTAACTTCAGTGTACATGGCCATGACTGGTCCTAGCTGTGAAGGCCTGAACTGGTGGAACTAAGGAATGTAGCTTGTCTGAATACAGCGAAAGAGTAATGAGTACTTTTGGAAAGGGGTTGTAGGGTAGAGTATAATTCATTCCATACAAAGCCATGTAAACATTTTTTAACTGTCACAGTTGGCAAATGAGCATATATATATATATATATATATATATATAAGATAGAAATATAGTTTTTAGGAATGCTATATTTATGGGTAAAAGTGCTCAATGTCAGATAGAGCATATGTAAATATAAAAATGAACTCTGAGGTCAACACCAAGTGACAACCGTCTGTTTCATGCTTGAACACAAACTTCAGGCCTGAAGATTGTGTTAAAGCATGAAACAGATTGTCGCCGCTTGCTGTTGACCTGTGTCCTAGTTTTATATATATATATATATATATATATATATATATATATATATATATCACACACACACTAGCAATGTTACTTAAACTATGTTGTGCTACATAGTTCGAGAGATTTATATATGTTGTAAAATGGTCTTAAAATTATCATAAATGCTTTTGGTCATTGTTTAAAACCTGTTGACATTGTGACTCAATAGCAAATCAAATGTTGATGGATTTGTATTTAATGATAAAATGTTTGCTTTTTTGTTTTCCTCCATTTGAAAGATAAAGTCAATATAAAACAAAACAACTAATTTTTAATGTACAAAATTTAAAAAGTATTTTCAAAATGAACATTTGGAGTTGTGTTTCAAAATATGTTCTTTACTACCAAACTATGACCTAAAGGCTAAGGTTATCACCACTTTCTGGACAGAACATAGTTTTGTTAGAATAACTAAATCATAAAAACCATCAAAAAATCAATTATTTATAAAGATCACAAAATGTTACACTATATCTTATTATTCTAGTCACTAAATGCTGTGTATTTTTTTTTTTTTTATAGTAATCACAGGGTTAAGAATCTTTTGTCACAGCACCAATGTAGCATGATGGCCAGGTGACATCCTGGACTGGAGACTTGTCCACCTAAGTTGTGTTTAGATAAGATCTTACAAAGTTCCAAATTCAGGGTTGAAACTTTGCAGGCCCAAGCCACTACATCCCATAAAACAAAAGTTCACAGATTCCTGAAATTGTTTGAAGTCTTGATATAATGCTAGGAATAAATTAAAATTTTTACAAAATGTAGTTTGTTAGTCAAAGAGATGTTTTATACTAGTGATTTCCTTTTGTTAATTCTATTGCTTGACAGCAATACTCACAAGTTTGAATTCCGAATTGCTTATTTACAACTATGATGATAAAACAAATTGTTTGTGTTTGCTCACTCTCTTTTCAAGGGTTCAGATTGTAATCTTGTGGTTTTCTAAGCATACAATGGAGCCCTCACCCAGCTTTCCACCAATTGGCCAATGACTACTCTATGTTGTGTCTCCATTCTCGTCAGTGTACACCAAAAACTGGGAAATGCCCGCTGTATGTTCACAAGAAAACAAAACATACATTAGGAAATGAGACCTAGCCTGTCTCAAATATATTTAGGTGTTTTATTCTGAGTTTTGCTTGCTTGATCTGAGTAGGAAGTTAGATTGGTGACACTTAGTCTGACATGGCAGAAGATGTCCTAACAGCTCGGTCAGAGAGTTGGTAGGAAAGCTAAGCTATCTCAACATCAAGACATGTAGCTAGCAATATGGACAAGTGGCATTGGAACTACCCGAGGGACGGTGTCTCTTCCAAAGGTGGACTAGGACTGATTTGTGACTGTTTATATAGACCAGTCCAATTATCAATATCTGGCTTGTTGCTGCTTAATTTCAGATCTCATTTACTTGTTTTCCTTTGGTCAAGTGGGTGCCGGTTAAGACCCAATATGCCAACCATAAAACACAAACACTTGAAACCATCAGTTAATGGTGTCTTTGCTGTATGTTCCGGTTATATCTACCATTAAGAAATCTTCTAGTCCTCTTAGAATCATTTCAATGTTTAGGTTAAACAAATCTGGTGATAAAATACATTTGCTGTATTCCTTTTTCTATTATTGTAGGCTCATTTAACTTGCTCTATTATCTGTATACAATTTGTTTGTTCCCAGTCAAGCTTATAGATTATTTGAATATCTTTTCCATTTAAATTGAGCTTTCCTAAAATGTCAAATTCTTTTGTCAAATGTATAAAACAGGTGTAGGTCTTTTTGAACTTCTCTTGCTCACTCTGGAACAAGGAATGCAATTTTCATGATCAGTGTTTTGAAAACAGCCACACTGTTCTTGTTTAATTGTTACAAGAACTAATCATTACAATTTAAATTATTATTTACAAGCTTTTAAGCTAGGCTCCTGTGGAGGGTCAGTTGGGCCTCTGGTTCAAAACTAAAGGGACCTCTGGTCCAGCTTAGAAAACAGCAATAATTTTGAATTCCTCAATTCATTCCATGGAACTTCAAAAATCTTACTTTGAGATCTAAGTCCAATTCTGACCAAAAGTCTGATTTGAATTGAAATTCCAAATCAGGCTGAAAATTGAGTTCTTCAAATCACAAACATTTTAAAATTTGAATTTTAACTCCGGACATAAATCCCAAGCACAGATTTTCAAACTTTGGATCATCCTGATTCTAAAAAGCTATATGTTTATGTAGAGCAAGTGTAGCTGGAGTTAGAGAGGGTTTCAGATACACAGAATTTGTCGTTGATTGATTGGAGTTCACATTCTTGCTTTGGCAGATCTGACAATTGATCTGTTGCTTTCATACATTTATCACTTTAGTAACCTTATCAATTGCTATTTCACTTTCATCTGCTCCTCTTCATCTTGGCCAAAAACCTAACCTCAGATTTTAATATTAGATACCATTCTATTTCTCTAGTACAGTTTTATGATTTTATACATCTTACCAAAGAGCATATTTTCCATAACCTCATCATTTTTCCTTTCCTCAGTGTCATGCAGCTTTTGCCTTTACCTATGATTGGTTTTCTATTCTTCTTGCAGGAGTTTACTGTCCTCACAAGCCAGTCATGTAATGACAATGATTAAAAATTTGTTCAATCTTATTAAAGCTTTTTATCAAACTTTGACTTGTCAAAGTTGGTACAAAGATCCTAATGAAGGAGGCAAAATTAAACATCCCAATTTTTCCAGACTCCTAAAACTGTATGAAGAATTTACTAAATATGCTAAAGTATTTTTTAAAGGTAAGTTTTTTTTTGTTTTTTTTTAAGCCAATTAAAACTTACAAGACATGCATGCTTAAGATTTAAAAAGAAAATGACTATGCATAAAACAATTTTTTTTTTTTTTAATTTTAGTGATTACTGGGTTGGCCCAACGGCGCTATGAACCACACTTGCAAGATCTGGTACTTTTACTCAATTTTAACCATTGGTTTACTGACAGGTAAATGATTTTATTTTACAAGAATGGACATTTTTTTTTTTTTATTTTATTTTTTAAATATACAATTTTTATTTATTTATTTCAGCAGCTGAGCCGCCCACTGCCAAAAACTGTACTATAGAAATAAAATGTTTATAATTTGAAAAGGTTTTGTTTTATTTAATGACACTTAATCTATTAACATAAAAGAAAAGTTAAGAAATAGAAGTTTCACTTTCAAAAATCAAATTTTATTACGGCCGACTGGTGGTTTCCATACTCCCACCCCACCACCACATACAGTTGATGCAAGATCAAAAAGAGCGTAGTTGGTGATCTCCATCTTTAAGAAGATGGAAAGCTTGGTGCTGCTGCTGTTTAATAAAAAGATACTATTGTTAATCAACTTTTGATGTTCATTTTTTTCATGCCCTTTTCTATTTTCTTCTTTTCTTGTTCTTCAATTGGAGCTGGTTTCACAAATGGCAGTTTCTCCTTGTAAGCTAAATAAGAAAAGAAAGAGGAATGACTAATCTCAATGTTCAATGGCAGGAAATGATTGAATAAATTTTCACAAGAAAAGGGGTTTAACTAGAACACTTACATTCTGGCATGTATTTTTGTAATACTTCTGGAACAAGTACACAATCTTCTGTCTGGTAATTCTCTAGAATGGCACAGATTGTTCTTGTTGTAGCACACATTGTAGCATTCAACATATGCACGTATTCAGTCTAGATGTGGGGGGTAAAAAGAGAAGAAAAAAGAAAAAGTAAAATCAAATTTTGGCTTGAAAAATTTTCAATTCAAATTATAAATAAGAAATTTTAGGAATTATTTTAATCTTGATTAAAAAAAAAAAAATCCCCCACCCAATGTGTTTTATACACAAGCGATATTACCTCTTGGTTCATCTTTTTGGTCTGTCCATAACGTACTCTGAGTCGACGTGCTTGGTAGTCTGTACAATTTGAGCAGGAGACTAATTCTCGGAAAGCACCAGAAGCTGGGAACCAGGCTTCCAAATCCAGTTTCTTAGCAGCAGCATTGTTGAGAGCTCCTAGAAAGAGAACAGGCAGAAAGCTGCTTTGTAAAACAATTTGAAACAAAGACCCAAGCTTTTACTTAAAAAATAAATTGTAAGTATTTGGTAATACACATGACAACACTTACCAGAGACAATGTTCACAATTCGGTAGGGAATGCCGAGTGCACTTGTAAAATCTTCTGCATTTTTAATCATTGCATCAAACATTTCCCAAGATTTGCTGTCATGAGGAGAGGTCAATACAAACTGTTCAATCTGAAAGCCAAAAAAGAAACAGATTAACAGAAGGTAGGAATTTAGATCTTCAGTGAAAAGAAAATTTAACAATTAACACTTCATTCATAAATAGAGGAAAATTCCAACAGAACTAAAAAGCATGCGTGCACGCTATATATATATATATATATATATGCAATGTTAATAGACATGTCAAAAGTTAATTGTCTTCACAAAGCTGACAACAAAAAAAAGTCCACTCAATTTCTGTGATTATTGGATGACATGAATAATTGTAATGACTTAGAGGAAGAAATTGAAAACAGCTTTTTTTATAGCAAAAAGCAGATGTAAAACAAAGTGTGCTAACTTTTTCAAATTGATGAACTCTGAATATTCCTCGAGTATCTCGTCCATGAGAGCCCACTTCTTGTCGGAAGCAAGTGGAAAGTCCAGCATAACGAATGGGCAAGGCTTCAGTTGCAATCCATTCATCACGATGGAAAGCAGCAATTGGTTGTTCAGATGTGGCAATCAAATATTTCTCATCGATAGTTGCATCGTCACTTTTCTCGCTCTCTTTACCAATCACCTACAGCAAAGAAGTAGAATTTAGTGTTTGAAGAAAACCTGTTGACATTAATTTTTCTCATTGTGAAAGCAGAAATTACAAGTAGATAGAATCTGGTTGTGCTGGCCCATTTGGGGGGAAAATAAATAATTATAAGGACATTGACTGATGACGCCCAGGAGAAACCCCTTTCTGGTCTCTGCTGTAGAGCATAAACAAAATATAACAAAAATACATAATGAAACAGGTTGTATTGTATGCTACTATATGTTCATATTGTGCTAATTAGTTTATAATGCAAGTGCTATTATGGTGTGTGTGTATATATATATATATATATATATATATATAAAAAGTCTTTTAAAGAGTCTTTATTACATTTGATATCAGTCAAAGACTATCAGATCCAAGCTGAAAAGATCTGATAATCAACATTGGGTAGGGGAGGTGCTCAGATGCTGGGAAATGGTACTCTATTCTGTTGGATATCTTGTTCTGAATATGTTCAGAGAATGGATTACTTTTGCTTAACTCTTAAAGGATGGGCATCATCAATTGATGTTTCATTTCAGATCGGCAGATACCATCATCCATACATAATTACAGTCAAAATGACTAATTGGCAACACGAGCATTCATGAGGTCACCATTTACTAGGGTATTTGCCTGCAAATAAAGCTGAAAGAACAAGCCCAAGACAATGCTATGTCTGTTAAGGCATGCATACATGTCAAAGAGAAAAGAAGTGGAACTGGTTCAAAGAATATACAACTCCATTGTACATGGAATGCTTCAAAGAGGATCATACTGTTAATATTAAATTTAAGAATCTAATAAACTTTTTTATTTTTATAATCAGAAAGTTAAAATATCATTTTTATAAATTTTTAATTAAAGTGAAAATAAACAAAACTTCTCTTTAGAAAAAGGAATTTTTCTGCTGTTTATGGAGTAATTTTGTAATTGTCAGGTTATTTTTGTATTTTTCAATAACATACATCAGATCAGATGTGTGTTTGAACACAGTAGTTTCACTTATGTTTTGAGTAATAGCTTTCAATTTCTTGTTTATACCATGTGAAGACACTTCTACAATTGGTCTGATAAGGACATACATCAATTTATTTCTTTTGAGCACTGAACAAAACTGATAAGAGATAAAAACTTCTGACATAACAACTAAAGTCAACAAAAAGTTATTTTTCAGTGAAAATCATGTTTCTTGTTAAAGTGCTAAGAGGTGTGTTTGCAAGTAATTTTCTACATAAAAAAGGGATTATCTTGAAGACTGACAAACAGATTGTTACAAGGTGGGGAGTGTAGAGAGAGAGAAAAAAAAAAGGCAGTACTCACTTTATACAATTCCTCATCAAACTGTGACAGTTGTGCAACTTCTCGCATAATATCTTTGCGCATAAAAAATGGTGTATAGAGTGGAGTAAAATTTCGTTCATGAAGCAGATTCAGGGCAAAGTTGATTAACGCTTGCTCTAAAAACACCAGTGGACCCTGGAGAAAAAAGGAGATTATTAGACAATAAAAGAATTTATTTTTCAATTACTTCATATTTCTCCTTATATTTTAAAGCTTTCAAAATCTATTTTACACTGAACTCAGCAAAGCTTAAAATAAAATAAAAAATGAAAAAAAAAACTTGCTTAGAGGTATATTTGAATGGCATGAAGATAAATTGTTTTTTTTTTTAAATTACATAATTTAATATAGATAAAAAAAATCCACAATAAACAAACCAGTTACTTCAATAAAGTAAGCTAGTAAAGGCATATATAATGACTAACCTTTAAATAGTAGCCTCGGCCACCTGCTGTAACAGAACCGCGGTCAATATCCACCCCATCAACCATAACAACCAGATCTACATGAGAATATTTCTTGCGAACAGTTGTATCACCTACAATACGTTCAATTCCATTTTGGTCCTGAAAGATTAAGTGGGAGGTGGAAATTAATTTAAAAAAAAAAAAAATTTTTTTTTTTTAGTAGAATGCTATATGAATGAATCTCTAAGATTCACATAGTAACAATCTATTTAAATCTACGGATGATTTTTTTTATCCACATTTTAATGCATGGAAATTCAACAAGAGAGTTTGTGTTTTTTTTTCTTTTTGCATATATACACTGAAATTAATAAAGATTGCATTAGCTCATTCTATTAAATATTTAAGGACTAAAGATAATGTGGAAAGAGAAATTGCATTTGCTTAACAGGTTTTAGTCCTGTTAATATTACTGAAAAATCTAATCACTGTCAGCAAAAATCTACAATCTTTCTTGCCACCTGGAGAAACTGACAAATTGGCAATTCTAATTAATAAAGCCTTCATTAAAAATTAATTTATGCTGTTAAAGTAAGGTTCCAGAACTGTGTTGGATTATCAGTTTTGCCGGCCCAACTGGAACCATGTGATAACAATTCAATAATACACCTACTAATTACCGGCTCTTGTATCTTTACAGCATCATCGACTGTTAGAAAATTATATTAACGCATAATGCCACTGTGGTCATTTGGTGAATTAGCTTGAAAAATTTTCAATTTTCTGTGGACAAGGAATATAATATTTTCTGAATTCTTACTTCATTTTATACAAATTTGGTAGAGTGCAAGAATGGATAAGGAATAAAGGAATAGAGTGCAAGAATGGATAAGGAATAAAGGAATAGAGTGCAAGAATGGATAAGGAATAAAGGAATAGAGTGCAAGAATGGATAAGGAATAAAGGAATAGAGTGCAAGAATGGATAAGGAATAAAGGAATAGAGTGCAAGAATGGATAAGGAATAAAGTGTAAATGAAAGAATCAAAGCTGTACCTCATCATCACTTATGATGCAAGAATCATGGAGCAAATTGCCAATTTCCTTTAGTGCCTCATTCCTCTGGTTTTCACATGTAGACATGTTGGCCGTATTTTGTTTCATCATATTATCAAGGGTGGCAGCCACACTCTTTATCTGCTTCACAGTCAGTGCCTAGCAAAAAAAAAAAAAAAAAAAAAAAAAATTTAAAAACATAGCACAAGTAGAAATTGTTGAATTGGAAGTGAAGTAAATCTGATAGAAATCTTCAACCTATTGGCCCTCTGCTTACCCGTAACATGTCTGCAGTCAACTCTTCAATCTTCTCTATTACTTCCTCAGGAATGGTACTGTCATCTCCAACTGGTTCTTTTTTCTAAAGCAAAAGAAACATTCAACTAACTTAAAATGATTTATTTTAATCTCAGCAATGCTCAACATGCTCCCTAAGTACGCACACACACACACACACACAGTGAAACCAAAGTTCATTTATTACTTTAAATATTATGTACATGTAAATATATCTCATGAGAATGATTATTTTCTAAGAATTTATCTTTGATCTACTTCCATAAATCATTCTCTGATCTTTATGTAAGATTTATAACTGTGTGCAATGTAGATATCTTATTTTCTTCATGTCTAACATTCATGAAATAAATTCTGAAATTGCTATGCAAAAGAATGAATTTTTTTCAAATCCAATAATTGTTTTAATTACTGTAATAGTTTGATTTATTAAAACATTTGCAGTTTGAAATTTTTCTTAATAAATAAGTAGGCACTAAATACCTAAATAGTTTGTATTAAAAGGTTTTTACCTTCATTTTTTCCCCAATCATTTTGTTACATTGGTTCCGAAGTTTATTCAGGTAATCAGCTCTGTAACGCACTGAAAGAGAGAGAGAGAGAAAAAAAAAAGTATGTTATAAAAGAAATAATAAAACTTCCCAATGTATTTTAAGTGCATATAGCATAACAAGCATCTTACGTGTTCAAAACTGGAAATTATATCAAAGAAAAATGAAGAACTGAGATTGCTATCAGATGCTATTGCACAACCCAAAGGGTGAAAACCAATATCAGTTTGTATTCAAAGTTAAGCATATGTCATGAAAGCATATACCAATGAGTATTTTCATATAAAACTAATTGAAATCTAACTTAGTGCAGACTGATACTTTTTAAATTCAACAAAGATCTAAATTAAGCAGTTAAGATGTCCAAAATGCATACAGTAAGCTCCAAATAACATTTGAATATTACCGTATTTGACTGTATATAAGATGCAACCCAATTTCAGCAGGGGAAAATCAAGAAAAAAATTAGCAATTAGTAAAATTAGTAAATGGTACAACCTAGGCTATATTTATGAGGTATTATTTTGGTTAAGCAAGCCATGATTTCAATTAAATGAAAAATAATAGGAAAAAAAGAACAAGCCTATAAAAACTTTATTATATCCAAAGGTAAGAAAACAAAATAAAAATCAAGCAATTATTACAATTGAAAATTGCCATCAAATATGGTACATATTTTGATATTTATAAATCTTGGCTTGAGAGAGAAGGAAAAAAATCCAGTAGTAAAAAAGCAATCATTTATAAAAAGTATTTCACAATTGGTGAATAAAAATAGTTGATAAATCAGTTTATTTTTTATATTATATAAATCTGAGGATTTGTGAAACTTGGGAAGATTAAGAAAGAAGGCTTAGAGAATTTAACATTCACATGGCTCATTGAAGGAGAAAGAAGCAATGGAAAGCAGCAAGTAACCTACTTGACCAGTTTATGAAAATGGATAGAGGAACATGGAATTACAAAGAGAAGGTATTGCTGAGAGGATATTTTAGAGAAACATGATTATCCATCTCTTGAAGGGACAAGGCAAAGACATTTCAAGTTATGAACAAAATAAGCATATCAGATGAATTTTACATTTTTATGACATATCCAGTAAGTATTAAAAAAAAGAAAAAGAAAAAAAAAGACGTTTGATTAAAGCAAACATGAAGACATTTTCTAATTTATTTGTTATTATTTTTAAGCAAGAATAACAATCTTAGCAAAACAAATGTCTTCTGGTTGGTTATAAAGACCAAATTAGAATGGCTACATTAAAAATGCACCCATTTCAATAAATTGATTTGTTTTCAAATTGTTATAATGGCACCAACTTGCAGCATTCAAGGAGGGAAATGTCTTAGAAGCATCCAAGATAATTCACTTGGCTGGAGGTTGGGGTGAGGTCAGATGTGCAGTTATCTGTTACTTAGCTTTTCATATATAAAATGTATTTTTCAACAGACAGAATTTATGAAATTGGTGGAAAGTTTATACAAAATTTTATTCAAAAAGAGACTTTTTTTAAAAGATCGATATTGATTAACAAAATATCGATTTTTCCCTTCATTGTTTAAAATTTATACTTAAAATTGGGCATTAAAAATATCAATTTGAAATGAAAGAAAAATGGTTTGTCTAACGCCTTAAGTAATCAAGCTAAATTCATGTTTAGATTAAACTTGTTTCTTAATTCTTCTACATAAGCTAGATTTGAATGAGGTTAGTATATTTTTACATTCATAGTGTGATTTGTTTCAAGAGGAGGCTGCATGTGAAAAAATAATGGCAAGCCAGACAGCAAATTGGTCCATATTAGTTAACTGTAGTTCTAATCATCATACAAGGCAGCTTGATTCTGAAAAAAACATGAAATACTATTTGAAGAAATGTAAGAGGCTCCAAAAAAGTGACACAAAGATCTATGAACACTTGATATATTCAAGGAAAGATATTAAAATAATCCAGAACATTTACTCGGAACAAACCACCTGGAATGTGGATAGAAAATTAATTCTGCAAGTCTCTGTGTGTGTATGTGTGTGTGTGTATGTGTGTGTGTGTATATATATATATGTATACACACACGAGAGAGGAATCAACTTCCCTTTCCTGTGTAAATTTTAAAGCTGGACGCATATTAATGGACACAAGAAATTGGTCTGCTTCAATCTCATTATTGAAGAGACAAAAGATGTCATCGATGTAATGGAAATAAATGTCAGGTTTATTAGGTTTCAATAACATACTCTCTTCCTGGGACCCAACAAAGATATTTGCTAAAAAAGGTCCCAAGAATTTACCAAGAATATTTTCCTAAACTTTAATGATTACTGGGTAGTTAAAAATTATATAAAATGGCGTTTATGTTATATTTGCCAAGTATTTGTTACATTAACTGGCCCCACCCCTCAAAAAAATTCTCAAACATAAGTGTATGGAGATGTCAACACCTCGCAAAAATACCCACCTCCATGTTAAAAAAAATGCTTTTTTATCTAACTAAAAATAAGGTTTCAAATCAGATTAATTTTTTAACTTTAAATCAGCTAATCTTCCTCAAAGTTTCCTAAAAGTATATTTTATTTTTAAAAGATTTTTTTTAATAAAGAGAATTACACTGTACTGAAATTAATAAAATCAGTCATTTTGAGATTTGGGAAAAAAAAAAAAAAAAAAAAAAATCATTCTAATCAAATTAAATTGTTTTGAAATACAGCAAATTTTGCTTATTGAAATATTAAATTTAATATTAATATGGCTTTAAAACTAAAATAAAAACTTCAAAAAAAGATTTTTCATTTTTAAAAATTTGTTTTGACTTTATTCATCGATTTTCTTTGGCGGTATCTGGATATATAGAGAATATGTTTATTAGAAGCAGATATGTCGAACTAACAGCAACATCATTCACCTTATGTTACATTTATTACATTAAAATAACAAAGTGTGTTAAATTCACAATTAAAAAAGTAAAGAGTCCCGAAAGTTACAAAATTAATTTGAAATATCAAATGTGGTTTAATAAATATATGATATTAAAATAGCCAATCCTTATTCAAAAACCTTAAATCATAAAATAAAATGTGAATATTGTTCTTCAGTGAATTGTTTGAATCTAAGACATTGAAACATGAAAGGCTAACATTTCTTATTGGCACTCAGTTTGTGAGAGTTCAATTTCCTAAAGAAAGCAGAAAAATCAGTTTTTAAATCAAGTAAAACAATGTCAAACAAGAAAATTTATTTTATATAATAATGGAACCTAAATTTCCAAATCAATTCTTTTTGTAAATGTTTAACAGCCTCTTAAATAAACTTACTTTTATGTTCGAATAATTGGTTCCAAATAATTTGATAATCTTGGTAGCTTCTGGAATTTTTAATTGAAATTATCAAACCAACACTCATTTTTATTGCTAGTAGTACCAGATGAAGGATTTCCTATGCTATTTTTAAGATTTGATTTTTGCACCTGACATTTTCATAAAAGAAATCCTGAAACAATTACATCTCTTTACGTCAGCTTTGTCTTTGCAGGTTATATTTCCAACATATCATCAATCTTATTGCTGGCAACCAACATATACCATTTTTTCCAGACACATTTTTTTCTCAACTTGTTCCATTGGCATAACCAGGGTTATAAGCAGGAAGGTTTTGAACTTTAACAGGAGATTAATAATAAGGTTTTGTTGAAAAAAAAAAAAATAAATAAAAAACCCAACAAAAAAATACCCTTACTATTAAAGAGATATTTTAAAATTAGTTTTTTGACTAAAATTGTATATAAAATGAGAAATAACAGCTATGAAGTTGTTAGGAAGCAGTCACATACATTAGTAGGGACTGAGAAAATTAAAATCTTTTTGAAAGCCCAACACACAAAATTTTGAGTTTTGCTAAGACTTTCAGGTCGTTTTTTTTTTTTTTTTTTTTTAAATCTTTTTACCCAAAGCAAGACTAAGACACTAAGAAAAAAAAGAAGTGTCATTAAAAAGAACAGGTTTTAAAGAGACAAGGGACAACTGATAGTGCATTTAAATTTTTGAAGATTATAGTTGACCGGAAAGCTAGTTACACAGATGAGAAGTTTGAGAGAAGAAAACTATCAGAATAGAACTTATAGTTACATCTAGATATTTCAACAACAATAAAATGATGAGACCTTGTTGCCAATCTAGTACTATGCTTAAATCCATAAGGTTGAGATACCAAAGAGAAAAGAACATCTAGCATGACAGTGAACCAGATTTCTTACCACCAGACCTAGCTAGCAAGTGATTCAATATATCATTTCAAGCCATGTCAGTGAAAAGTGTTAGACTGAGAAAGTGAAGGACTTACATACTTGGGAGGTTAGCATCTGTCATTCTGATGGAAAATTAAAAACAAAAAGATGATTAGTAGGTAGGTAGGTTTGAGAATAAAGCTCAGAGTGACACCTGCATTTATATAGAAGGATCTAGAAGAGTAGCCACTCAGGACAATTAAGAACAATTGATAAGAATCAAATCAAAAATTTAGCCAGAAACAAATGAATCAAATCAAAGATTTCGCCAGAAACATCACAATCTTTTAACTTGTGAAGAAAACTGCCAAATGTCTTCAATATATCTAAGGCAACAACCCGAGCTTATCTAAAGATTAATAGACTCTTTCTGCAATAACCAGAAACACATCGGCAATTGACCTAGTGAAGTAAAAGCCATATTGTTTATCTGAAAGAAGATCCTAGTGAGATGCTTAACCAAGTCTGAGTACATTAGAGCCTCTCAGATAGGCCTCCACCGGTCATTAATGACCATGGATTTGATCCCACCCAACTGTAAGGTAGGATCAAGCATGGCACTACAAGCCCCACAATATTACGCAATTGTTGATCAGAGCAGCCGCTCAAGATGCTATGCAAGAGTTAGGGCTCCTAACTACCATTTGGGAACAGCAACCAGAGAACTATCAACCTGGCACCCTCAGTATGAAGAGACATTGCCACAGACTACACATATCACAAGGGATTCACGACAGCAGTAATACAGAGGCCAGAGAAAAGGAAGATCCAGGAACCCCTTCCTAAACAGGAAACAAGGGATGAGCCTCTATACCTGTTCTACAGAAGGCGGGGGAGTATTGACCAAGTGATATGTAGGCCTAGCTGATTTAAAGTTTAATTAATCTGATTTGAAACTAATATTACTTTTAGTTTAAAATATCACAAGAAATATTTTTGAACATTTAGATGAGTGTTTTTATGAAGTGTTGACAACTTAATAGACTTAGGGTTGTGAATTCCTTCAAAGGTGGGGATATATCAGCAAAAATTACTTGACAAATATAACATGGTCACCATTTTTACATAAGTTTGTAACTGCTTAGTAATCTTAAAATTTTAAAAAAACATTCTATCTAATATTTTATTGAATTTTAGATACTTTGGTAATTTACTATAGTTACCACTCTTATTTTCTGATAATGTTGTGTATGGATATCTGTATTTCATCAAAAAATTCAAAATTCTTTTCAAAATACTGGAGGTGGGGCAGGGCGATGAATTGGAGTAAGCTTTTTCCATTTATGATTAGTAAGTCTAGTTTTTACTAAATTATTATTAGGTCTCAATTATCACCTATCTGCCACAAATTAATACAGAATTTTAAAAGATCTAAAACATGAAAACAATTCTTGTAAAATTCATTATTCATGGAAAAAAATTTTCTTAATATATATGTCCATATCTTATTCATAAAAGCAATTAAAAGTTTTTCTAATTAAATGTCTTAGTTTTGTTTTATTGCATTTTTTATTTTATGATTTAGAGCACATTTTGTTGTCCCATACTAATTTAGCCACCCAGTGACAAAAAAAAATTTAACTAAAATTTTTTTACGGTTCTAAAGAGGATTAATAAAAATATAATTTAATAATAACTAAAAACGAACTCTGATCTTAATAACAAAGATTTTGATAAAACTTTTCAATTCATCATTTTTCTTTTAGTAATTCTTTGGATGTACATAAATGCTTTTAAACACTTTCGATAACGAATATCTCTAAAAACAGTTTGCTACATAAAAAACTAAAAAGTGATCCTTCTTACGAAAGCCAAAATAATTTTTTGACGATAAAACTTTATTTTTATTAAGTTTGGAACCTTTTTTCATCAAGCTATACTGTTTTTTGTTTTTTTTTTACGAAAAAGTGGAGGTACCTAAAACTAAAAGTGCCTGTCATGCATCATCATCATCATGTATCACAAAAATTTAAGGTCTGAGGCTTGTTCAAGTGAACGTGTCAAATTTAAAGCCTTTATTTTAATTTTTTTTTTTTTTTTTTTTTAACAATCAGTCCCTATTGGTGATTTCTGCAACAACTAATGACCACGAAGGGTATGATCCAGACCTTGGGATTATCTCAAATTAGAGTCTTTATGGTAAGAATGAAATTTAAGGTTACTGAAACAGCGACAGAACCGTTAACTGCGGAAACATCTGCACCTATTCATCGATAGTCAAAGGATTTTTCATTATGCTCAACTTCGTGGCATATAGCAATGCTAAGAAAACACTAATTTTTCACATCTTATGCATAATTAATTCAAAGACAGAACGTAAGTTCGTAAGAGTAAGACTCACCTAAAGTGCATAAAAAATTAAGTAATTTAATCTTCAGGGACAACCATTTTTATTTTTATTTTCTGTACTATTCTGTGCATAACAAAGTTAAAAATCCTTTCTGAATTTTCACCTTCTTAGTTTTTAAAAATCAAAGCAGAAAAATAGCCATAAAGTTTTAACTTGAGAGTCATTTTTTAAAGCTAAGACAGATTTCATTCATTTTCAACCAGCTGTGTAGTTATCGATTAAAACAAAAAAAAAATCTGTAAAAAGGTTACATTTTTTTCTTACGTCTCTAAACGAATTCTTGAATGAAACATTAATGGTTGAATCAAGCATTATTAATAATAATTAATGGTTGAATCAAGCATTATTAATAATAATTAATGGTTGAATCAAGCATTAATGGTTGAATCAAGCAATCTGTTGATTAATACATCGCTTTTTAAAACAAATCCATAGCTAAACAAAAAAGAATAAGTCATTATTTTTGCACAAATTAAAAAAATAAATCGTTAACAGACAACACAGATTTTAATTATAAAAACTGGTAATTAAATACACAAACTAAACAATACACAGAAGCTAAGAATCGTTATTCGATTACTTAAGTTAAAAGTTCATTTTTTATGCAGGCTAAAATTCATTTTGCAACATTGTACGAGTATTTTTCGCTGGACACATGTACATGTTCAGTTGCGTAGTGAACAATCACTCCCAAATATTCAAATTGACAGATTAAATCTAATACAGGGTAACGCAAAAGTAAGTAATCAGACGATGATGCAATACTTTCTTCTTTGTGATTAACAAAATTTCGAGCGCCATTTACAAGACAACATTTATTTATACCGGCCGGCGTAAATAACTTTCTTCACTTACATTTTCGCCACTGCGTATCATTTTCCACCACTTTATCGACCAGGGTGACATCTTTGTATCGTTTAGCTTGATTCTCTCGGATTTTGTCCGGATCTCCGCCCTTGTCCGCGCGGAATAATTCTAAATCCAGAACCATGGTTCAGAAGATACTCACTACTACTCTGTTGCTCTGCGTCAAAGGGGAGTAAAAACTGCTGCTGACGACATCAAATAATTACTTCCGTTTGATCATGCTCAGTAAAGAGAAATAATTTCGTCATATCCGCTTAGTTACATAGCAACGGACCACACTTACGAACATAGAATTCATGCTTTTTTCTCTCTATCAGTCAGTTGTGTGCCATGCGTGATACACTCTTAGGCGATCCAGCTCGGTTCTCCGATTCCTCAATCCAAGCCATCATCCATTACTTCACCGTGGTCCTATTACAAAGGCATTAATGGCAGGGAATAGTATCGCCACCTAATAGCCTTTTCGTTCTCATTTGCTGTTTTTTAGCAAATGAGAACGAAAAGGCTGATTAGAGCTTCCTTTTTTTTTTTAGTCGTCTTTCATCGCAATGTAATTCTCTTCGTTAAATCTTCCAAAAATAAAATATACTTTTCTGAAACTTTATTTTGGAATATTAGTTAATTTAAAGTATAATTAATCCTATTTAAAACACTGACTAAGTTTAAAATATCGCAAAAATGCATTTTTAACAAGACAGTAGCTGTTTAGTTTATTTAAGGCGTTCGCAGGTTTTACAGCTTAATGATATTGGTATTTAATGTTGTTCTATGGGTGATCCAGGCGTTAAAAGGTAACTGAATTAACATGAGAGCCTTTTATATATAATTTTTTAATACTCAGTAATATTAAAAAATTAAGAAAATATTCTCTCTAATCTGTTTTACTGAATTTTAAATTTTGGTGGGTATATGTTTGCTATTGTTATGGTATCTATCTATCTATCTATCTATCTATCTATCTATCTATCTATCTATCTATCTAAGATTAGATTAGATAGATAATCTAATCTAATCTGGACGGAGTGATTCCCCTTTGAACGGGATCTAAATAAAGAAGGCACTAGTCATTTTGATCTAAAAGTAAAACACACGTTGATATCAGAAGTAGGATTGTCATGAAACTATGAAACTAAAAGTACATTAACAGAGCACTAGAGAACGGATACACTTAGACGTCAGACGAATAAAATATCCGAGGCAGAAACGGAAAATAAACAAAATCAACAGCAACGTGTCGACGCCAGAGCCGTTCCTATTTGACCAGCTCGGACAGTGGCCAAAATGGATAAGAAGATTCACTCGCTACAAAACCGTATCGGGCATCGAAGAAACGCACGAAAGAGTCCAAGTGGACACACTTATATACACCATAGGCGATAAAGCTGAGGATATCCTAGCTACCTTTAAACTATCGCTGGAGGACCCGGAAAACTTCGATATAGTCAAACAGAGATTTGACTCCCACTTTACGGCCAGTACAGACATAATTTATGAACGAGCGATGTTCAACAAGCGCTGCCAACAAGAAAGTGAGTTAATAGACGCTTTTTTGACTGACCTACACGTGTTAGCAAAAACATGCGATTTTAAGGGGCTTGTATACGTTGTATACGTTACCGTAAAAAAAAAAGACATGCAAAAAAAAAAGAAAAAGAAGAAAATCTCTTAAAAAATTACGAGGGCAATAACCCTAAAGGGCACAGACAACAGCGGCAGCCAGAAACAAGGTGTCGCCGTTGTGGTAACAGTGAACCATTCGAGACGTAGGTGCCCCGCCATACTGTAAAGCAGTCGGCCATTACAGACAGTGTTGCAAGAAGGTCTACGAAGTACAATATGACGAAGACTACTCATACAGCAGCGATGACAACACCACCCTAGGGCTATTGACAGTGGTTGAGATTAAGCAGAACAAACCATGGAAGATTGAACTGGCAATAAATAATAAGTCAGTGAAATTTAAAAAAGACACTGGAGCTGATGTCACTGTTATACCAGAAGACATCTATAGAAAAATGAAATTACCGGAACTAGTAGCAGCAACAGAAAACCTACATGGTCCACACCATAACCCCCTAAAAGTGACAGGAAAACTAAAGGCAAACATCCAAGGAAATAAAGGACGACAAACAATACATTTATATCATCTCTAGCCTGGAAGAGCCACTATTAGGAAGATCTGACATTGAGGCACTAAAAATATTGGTGATAAACTCTGCAGTACATAATATCAGAAATACCAACCATAAACAAACGTTTGATCCGATGAAGGGGATGAAAGACTTATTTTAGAGCCTTGGCTTATTTGGAAGATGCTAAGCCCTATTCCATCCCAATGCCATGTCATGTACCCCTAACATTAATGAAGGAAACATAGAAAGAACTCATAAGGATGGAAAAGATAAGGGTGATAAGCAGGGTAGAAGAGCCCACAGAATGGTAGTGGCGCCAAAGGACAATGGAAAGACCAGAATACGCGTTGACCTGACAAAACTAAATTCATATGTTTAAAAGAGAATTTAATTTGCTACAAACAGTCGGATGGGGCCAAAATTATGTCCAAACTAGACGCTAATAGTGGATACTGGCAAATCCCTTTATCATGTGAATCCCGCCAATTAACGACCTTCATTACTTCGTTTGGCAGATTGTAATTTAACCGTCTACCGTTTGGGATTACATCAGTCAGTGAGGTATACCAGAAACGGATGTCAGTTATACTAGAAAACCAAGAAGGGGTAATATCTATGCTAGATGACGTACTGGTATACGGGACGAATCAAAGTGAGCATAACAAGCGGTTAAAAGCCACACTGAAGAGGATACAAGCAGCAGGGATAACCAAGACCTCGTTAAAATTCACTCAGCATTGATGGCCTAAGGCCCGACCAAGACAGGGTTTCAGGAGTTTACAATCGAGACGGATCATAAACCAATCATAACCCTTCTAGGTAACAAAGACATAAACGAATTACCAGCTAGAATACAGAGATTTCGCATCCGGCTCATGAGGTTCAGCTTCAAAATCCCTGTTTCCGGCAAAAACCTTTACACTGCCAATACCCTATCAGGAGCCACGCCTAGCAACATGCCGGCCATCCAAGAAAAAGAACTGGATGAAAGTTCAATGTTCGTCCAAGCCATCATGAAATCTCGACCTGCAACCGATAGACGGTTGGCAGAATTAAGGGAAGCAACCAGCAATGATGACACAAACACAAACACATACACATTAGGAACTAAGTGAAAAATAGATGGCCTACAAAAAACAAGTTCCAATGCGCATCAAACCATATTGGGCCCATCGAGGAGAAATTACCTGGGGGTAAAGCTTACTAATGTATGGGATACGGATCATAGTCCCCCAGTCCAAGAAATAATTGAGATCCACCCAGGTCACCAAGGCATTACAAGATGCCGACAACGTGCACGCCAATCACTTTGGTGGCCAGGTTTTTCCGACCAAATAAAAAACAAGGTGGAGAATTGTGAAACATGTGCCAGGCTGAGACACCAACCAGCCGAACCGTTAATGGCAACTAAACGCCTACCCAGACCCTGGTATAGCCTGGCTTCTGACTTGTCTGAACTAAATAACCAGACGTACCTGGTGGTCGATTACTTCTCAGTAAAGTATATAGAATTCACCCAACTAGGTTCAATTACCCCAAAAGTGGTAATAGAAAACCTAAAATAAATATTCGTCAGACATAGAATACTAGTTACCTTGAGAACAGATCCAGGAAGCCAATACATGGCTAAAAAATTTGCTGATTTCGCAAGAATTTGAGGCTTTCAACACATCACAAATAGTCCTATATTTTTTCAAAGTAACGGAACAGCGGAAGCAGCAGTAAAAATTATAAAGCACATAGTGAGGAAATCATATGTCCCTTTTAGGCTAGCCCATGTAACTACCCCAATGGACTGTGAGTACTCTCTCAGCGAACTGCTAATGGGGAGGAAATTAAGAACCAATATCCTAATCCATCCGAAGTTACTGGCGTCCAAGTGCCCTAACTACAAACTCATTCGGAATAGGGATGACCACAAGAAGGCTCAACAACATCACACCTACAACCAGAAACACAGAGCAAGAGAACTGAGACCACGTGAACCTGGAAACCATAGTGTGGATTAGAAGCCCAAACACCAGGAAGGAACAATAGATGGAAACTCTACGATCCTACATCGTGGAAATAAACGACAGCAGACGATACATCCAACGCAACCGCCGACACATTATACCACCTCTACTCCGTCAGCATCAATGGACGAAACTGAAGAAATGACTCATCAACCAACCAAGTCCCCCGAGCCACGTAACAACCAGGTCTGGACGAATATCAAAACCACGCACAAGACTGGACATTTAAAATGAACAACAGTCATAAATTAAGAAGGTAAGATGTTATGGTATCTATCTATCTATCTATCTATCTATCTATCTATCTATCTATCTATCTATCTATCTAATATGGACGGCGTGATTCCCCTTTTGAACGGGATCTGAATGAAGAAAGCACTCGTCATTTTGATGTGTTTTGATTCGTTTTTCATTTACTGACACAACAGCTATAGTTATCGCTCTTATTTTCTGATCAGTAATTGAGTTAGTGTTTGGAAAAAAATGGAGGCCTGCTTTTAACTAATATAAATATAAAGCGGGACAAAATTTAATTTCTCGAAATTTCATCACTTAATAGGAAGAGGTAAAATGTAAAAGTAAATATATCTACCAAGATTTTCTAAAAAATTTTTAAATAATTTAATTCATTTTTGAAATGTCCTGAAGGTTTTATTAAAATCCAACAATTATTTAATTTTTGCAAGAATTTTCAAATCAGTATGTTTTTACCGGAAAAAAGACGCTAAATTTCCTAAATACTATGTCTTTGCTGCACCCGATGACGCAAGAAAAACAAGATTTTTAACCAAAATTTCGAACGTGCCCGAAAGGATTAAGAATACTTAATAAACATTTTGAAGATAAAACTTTATTTTTATCAAGTTTGGGTCCGTTTTCATCATGTTATGCTCCTTTTTTCAGCGAATTATTGGGAGGTACCAATTTTGTAATTATTATCGTTTATCAACACCGAATATTAAGTTTAAAATGACAGG